GAGAGAGGATATTTTGCATAGTAAACTTCGGGTTCTATAATGTATGGTAAAATTAAGGCAGGTTAATAGACCACTAGTGTATATATAATTTGTTGTCATTAACTGTCCTTATTAAGCTCCATTGAGAGAAAGATAGCTATAATGTGGTTTAAAGATTCATATACACTTCGGTTGCAGGGGTAGTGTGTTTGTCCATATTTTGGTGAAACGCATGCGTTTGTTTTCTGCATAGATATTGCTTTCAATGTTGCATAGAAAAATGTCCAAAATCTTGCATAGGAAAAAATGCATTTTATCGTCACTTGTCTTTTGTGCACCTGCTTGCATTGTTTTGCGGCAGCTCCCTTTGTTTGGAACACTGGGATTACACGTCCTTTTTGTTTCTTTCCTTTTGAACTCCAACTGTTTCTTAGAGGGATATGTTACTGTATATATAGGATTTAAAACTTCATATTTTGCGCTACTCTAACTTATATGTTTACAGCTCTCTCTGTGCTACATAATTAGCAGTAAACAAATCACGCTATATGGGATTTATCGTGATGCGTGAAGTGTTTCTCTCTCTTTTTTTTTCTTGTAAAAAAGACGACTAGTGGATATGTTAAAATTTTCAGTCTACCTTCATCTTCACCCCACTTAAGATTCTTCACTTTCCTCACTTTACTTATACTCTACCACAATACACAACCCCGTATAAACACCTAGTCTTCCCCACTAAACTAACTGTTTTCTCCATACTACACCACTTTTCAGCACAGCACTGGATGCGTCCATCCTACAATCTCAGCTATAATATCTTCTTACCACATTACTATCCACCGAAACAACGAAGATAACGTCCTCCACAATCGCTTTCTTCCTTCTCTCTAAGACAAACCTCTCAGCCGGATACTACTCCACTAAACCTAACCACGTTCCTTCACTATGTTTCTTTTTCCAACTACAATTCCGAACCAAAACGGGTTACCACCGTTCACCTATCCTAATGTTTCCTTTACTCTTTCCATTCTAGAGACAACAACGGGATACTGTCCTATGTTCTCTCTCTTTCCAGAGAACTACACACACCCTCGTGTGTGAGTGAGTGAGTAGGTATCGATTCGACCATCACATTTTGATATCGTAAATTACTCTTTCTTTCTCCCTTTGTCCTCAACAATCTATACTCACAACTCAACTAATCCCAATACATCACACAATTTACTTCTGCTCTCTTTCTCTCTAAATATTTTTCTTTACATGAAGTATCAGAAGCTGGTTTTAAAACCTAAGTAAATTTTATTCACTTCCCCAGGCGGGCGGTCAACCTCAACCTTAGCCGCCCGCCAGGACTCAACCTATTCCGCTGATAAAATCAACAAAGATTTGTGCAACTGTAGTCATTGTGAGGCTGATGGAGAGAATTCTTCACCTCATATTGACGAGACGTCTGGAACTGGAAACACTTGCAACATTCCGGCTCTGGAATTTGCTGGCAGCAGCTAGATTATAGCTTGGTTGAGTGCCATAGCTTTGGTTCTTCCAACCCACTCTTGAACTTTTGCCCAGCAAAGTGTGAAGGTTCATGCTTGTGTTGGAGGGACTAGTGTGCGCGAAGATTCAAGCGCATCTCTCTCAGTGGGGTTCATGTTTTGTTGTTGTACTCCTGGTCGTGTGTTTGACATGTTGCGGAGACAATTACTTCGCCCTGTTTGCACTCACAAATGTTTGTCCTTTTGGATGAAGCTGATGAAAATGCTGTCAAGAGGTTTTTAAAAATGCAGATCTATGTATTTTCAGTTGCTGCCACCCATAATCCAGGTTGGGGTGTTCTCTGGCCAACATGCCACCAGAGGTCTCTTGACATTCACAGGAAATTCATGAAATAAAGCCTGGAAAGCAGAAAAGCTCATGCTAGGATTGCGGAAAGTGATTCGCTGCAGGAATTTTGGCTTGGATGAATACCCTTACCATAATCTGCCCTCATTCTCTCCACTGGTTTAACTTTTAATTTTATTATTTTATTATTAATATCAAATAATCAAATGCACTCATGTTCCCCATTAAACAGTGTCCACTTTTGACCCAAACCATTTTAATCCATCATTTCTCCTTCACCTTTTTGCACCCCACTCATCGGAACTCTCTCTCCATCTTTATCACATGGGGTTTTTGGTCGCCTCTCGTGTCTCGCTCCTTTGAAGTTTCAAATGATCACTGTATTTTTATTTATGTTTTTCCGAAAATCACTTTTCCACTCTTTTTTTAATAACACCCAACTTTGATTTTGAAACAATCGCACTGATGTTTTCATAATAATCCATCTATAAATATTTTTTATCTATTTATTCTTTCTCCCTTGTTTTCTTTTCATTTTATTTTTATTTTTGCAACAAAACACTCGCAAAAACCACAAAAAAACAAAAACCAACAAAAAAAAAAACACAACAATTTGTACAAAACTTGTCAATTTCTTCTGACAGGGGATCAATCCCGATCAGACATTTTACACCTAAAAAATAAAAATAAAATATAAAATAAATGAAAAAAAAAAAACACAAAACACAAAAAACAAAAGACAAAACCACAACCAACACAAATCGGAACAAGTGGGATTTTTCTTCTCGACCTAATTCCGCGCGGTCTTTTTCTTTCTTGCTCGTCCTGGGCGGTCCTTGACGGGTGTTGCCCTCCGTGTTTCCCACTCCACACTGGGCACGATCACTCCCCCATACTCCTCCACTGCCAGCTATGGCGGCCCTCCAAATCGGACATCACGGTGGCCTTCCGCTTCAGCTCCTTATTCTTCCGTGGCCTTTAGCACACTTATCTCCTGCTCCGCGCATGCCTTAATACATGCGTTGGAGCAGAGCCAGCTGGGAGTTTTAATGGCTGCAACCTCATTTGTCCTGCTCTCGCAGCCGGTGCGACCGGTTTTTGTGACCGGCAAAACAATAAATAAAAACAAGTCATGTGTTTCCACACATGACTTCAAAAGTTTACTGATTGGCCTCAATATCTGTTTGTCCCCGCCATTTTTTTGCTCCACCCGAACCGCATCGGAAAGTTCAACGGAGCAACCTAGAGGCGTTTGGTTTGGGGATCATTGGCCACCGCCATCCGGTTAATTCTCTTCTTGTTGACTCGTTGAGGTCGGGAAAGAAGTGAGTAGAACCATCGAGACGCAGAAGGCCAATATTCTGGGTAGCTTGAACGGGAAGTAAGAGCCATTGTTCAGATGTTTTTCAGAAATGCAATATTTCAGATGTTTCAGAATGAAAATTTTCAGAGGTTTCAGACCTGGTTTGTTTATGCTTCCCAGCCTCAGTCTCCTTCCCGCACTCCGCTTCGGTTTATAAGACCAATGGACGAAGAGGCCGACACGCGCACTGTTGTCGATCACGTGCATCGCCGCGTGTCTGGCGCGCCTTTTGTGGCTCGTCGTTTGATGCAGTGGGTGCACGGCCTTTGATGGCCGCCTTTTTGACAAAATTGGGGCACACCCTTTTGAGGGTGCAACTTTTTTCAACGGTCCGACACGACCCCATAAAATCTGTCCGACATTGATTCAGTTAGGCTCGCTTTATGGGTCCAACAAGGACTCCTGTAACTGTCCCCGACATATGATTCCCCGGTTAGTTCTACACAGGGTCCGACAAGATCTGGTAAACTGTCCCGACATAGATTCCGGTTAGTTTCTAACAAGGGTCCGACAAGACTTCTGTAAAACTGTCCCGACATTGATTCCGGTTAGCTCCTTCATGGGTCCGCATAGACTTTGTAACTGTCCCGACGAGTTAATGTCCGGTTAGTTTCTAACAAGGGTCCGCAAGACTCCGTTAAACTGTCACAATACAACTGTCACAAACATTGTCTGCTACAGACGGTCCGACATGACCCCCATAAACTGTTCTTCTAAAACAGACGGTCCGACATGACCCCATAAACTGTCTTTCTACATCGGTCTGACCCTCCCATACAGTGTCCTCTAATACGTTATGACCACATACAGTTGTCCTCTACAACGTTAATACACCACCAATCCAGTGTCTTCACCAATGGTCTGACATCGACATACGTGTCTCCCTATCCCTTTTTTATTTTTAATGTATTTTTCTGTTTTGTAACTCTCTCCAAACTCAAGTTGGCTAGTTCCTATCCCCATGTTAAATCTATGTCATTCTAGTTCAAAGTCATATTCAGGCTTCATTTATTGTAGCATTTTTTAACCTACTATTGACTCTGTACTTTCATTAATTCATCATTACTTTCCATGTGCATAGCATTGCCATGAATTGAGTATTTTTAATTTATGAAAAATATGTATGCATGAAATGGCCCAAATCTATAGAACCATAGTGGCAAAGTTGCTGGTGTGGCATCTAAGCAATACGTGTAAGGGTTTGAATCCTATCATTTATCAGAGGAAGACAAAAAGGAGAATTTTCTGAATTATGTAGTTCTGTTGACAAATATTATGTTACTCTGGATTTGTAATAATTTGTTTCATGTTTAAATAAAAAAGGCAAATATATGCTCCATTTTTTAGTACTTGAAAGTTGAAACCATTCATCTGGGGGACTCCTTCAACCACATTGTGCAAGAGCATCATCTGAAGTCATTTTTAAAATGATCTAGATCTATTAGGTACTCAATAAATTGCTATTTTCTTGTTTTATATTTCAGAGAACCTTTTCGGTTCAATCTGAATTTCTAAGTCTACTCCTGTATCTTGGGAAAATTCTTATTTCTAAGCAGTCATTAGACAGTATATCTTATTTTGGGCTTGTTCTACTGGAATGTTTATTAGTGTATTTTTTATTATTAGTGTTTGTGGCAGATCTAAAATTCTATCAGCAAAAGCAATACTTCTTTTCAAGTAATTGGAGATACAATTATTTTATTTATTAGAAGTGTTTATTGTTGAGTACAATTGAAGGTGCTCTTATGAATCCAGGATCTGCCTCGGAGTGATGTCCTGTATAGTTATCGTATGGATGGTCCTCGAGGCTGGCATCAAGGGCATCGATATGATGACAACATTATTCTAATTGATCCTTATGCAAAACTAATTGAAGGCCGCCGGTTTTTTGGTGATGCAAGTCATAAGATGGCTAAATTCTTTGGAACTTATGATTTCAACAGCTTGCCATTCAGTTGGGGAGAGAATTACAAGCTTCCAAATATACCTGAGGTAAATATAGTGAGTTACTTAACTTGCATCAGTTTTGACTTATAAAAAGAGAACGATTAATTGCCGAAAAGGTTGTCCCATCTTCAAATTGCTAGCCCCTCTTCTCCATATGTTCTCTTATTTCATTCCATTCTATTGTTGGTTCTAAGTTGCATGATTGAATATTTTTGTGTTGGGTGTCTTAATTATTTTTACCTATTACCTAAGTGCTTCTTTGTAATCTTTGCCTTTTTTGCTATTCTTCTTGCAGAAAGATCTTGTTATATATGAAATGAATGTTCGTGCTTTTACAGCTGATGAATCCAGTGGGCTGAATCCAAGCATACGTGGCAGCTACCTTGGTGTTATTGAGAAGGTAATTACTTATTTATTGAACTGAATACATTCTAAAAAATGCTAGGAGCACCCACTCTTATAACAGTTTACAGTTTCAAGTTATTATCTTGAGAAAGGTTCTAGCAATTGTTCCTTTTAACATATGGTGTAATTCTCTTCTTGGATGATTTGCTTATATAAACAAGTAGTCTTGTTCCTGAAACTGAATCCACGTTTGGCCAGCATTGTCCAATTCTAGATGAGTGCTTGGGAAACCATAGGGATCTACTCTTTCAGAGGTTGGCTGAATGGGCACCAAAATCATTTTTAGGATAGGATCACCGTAAGAGTTTCTAGGACATGTTTGTGCTTACTTTCAGTTGAGCACTGTTATTTTGGTGATCAAAATAGAGAATCAGCATATACACATTTGTGGTTGGAGATCAAAAGAAAAATAGTTAGCATGATTAATCCTAATAATAATTGTATTTGGTAGGGAAGAATATGGAAATTGTAGTAGGAAATCCAAATTGAAGAGAGCAATCTCTATTATAGTTGGTTAATTGTTGTTATGATGATTGGAATGACAGTTTTAATCTATCACTTTGGTAATATTAGCGAATTGAGGATGTTTCTTAAGTTGTATAGGTTTTGATCATAGAATTGTTACATATTAATTTTATATACTGTTTTAAATTTTTGGTTGTAACTCTCCTTTCTTGTTAAGCTATCCCTACTAGAAACATTTCTTATTACAATCTTGGTTAACAACACTTGGTTTGAAGTAAACATTGACCACTTTAAGCCACATGCAAGATTGGGAAACCATGTAGCTTCTTGTTTCAGTTCTGAGGCTATCTGTGGGTCATTGGTTTGGATACCTGATGTGCTTTGCCACATTCTTTTTATTGATTTTTGTTCTTTGAATCACAAATACAATGTGCCTTTATTGACTTGTTTTGCCAGATCGGTGAATTTTTCTAGATCTGAATTTCCTACAGCTGTAAGTTAATATACAAATTCTGGACTTATAGAATTTTGACTTGATTTTTGTAACTCCTATAGGCATAAACCCAAATGAAATCACTAAACTACATTCATTGATCAATAAAATTTCCTGCAAAATTTCCCCTAAACCGTGGAGTACATCCCCTATCTCCTCCAACACAACACAATGCATATAAACCACAATTATACACATCATCACACAACACATAAATTTAACGTGTTCTTTCAGTCAACAAACTCAATGACTCATTCCAGTGATTAGTTTCCGTTCACCTAATCATCATGCATTGTCTACAACAATCACGACTATCCTCCGCCGATAGCCCAACTATCCTCCACCGATAGCCCAAAGCAGTTATTTCTAAGACAGCAAATAAATGCACAAATGGATATTCAATCAACATTTCATCTCCTCATTTCTCATCAATTAATTATCCCAAT